CGCCCCCTTCCCCTCTCCCCCACCCGGCTGGGCGCAGAGTCCCCCATCCCCACCCCCGTGGGAACGTTCGGAGCCTGCACTCCTCCGAGCCTCGGCTCGCCCCTTCCCTCACCTCAGCCCCCGCTGCCCGCCCTCTTCCCGGCCCTGGGCGCCCGCCGCCCAGTCCCTCCGCCGCCCCCCGGCCGCGGGGAGGACATGGCCGCGCACAGGCCGGTGGAATGGGTCCAGGCCGTGGTCAGCCGCTTCGACGAGCAGGTAACGGGCCCGCGGCCGGCGGGAGGTGGGAGCGGGTGGGGGTAGGGCGGGGTGGGTGAGGGGAGGCAGGAGCGGCCGTCTCCCCCGCGGCGGCCGCGGCCTCTGGAGCGGAGGGAGGGCAGGGAAGGGGGGATCGGAGGGGGTGGCCGTGGGGGGAGGCGCGGGGAAGGAGGGGACGGCGGCGCTCTGGGGCTCCTCTTCCCTCCTAAATCGGGGGGGTGGAGCCTTTTCCCTGACCAAGCCTCCATCCCCTTTATCCCAGCCCTTCCGCTTGCTAATGGGTATAAGTGACCTGGGGGCGCCTTCAGGGGCGCTCCATCTGGATTTAATCATTCCCCCTTACTTTTTTTCTTTTTGAACGGAGGGGGTTAATACTGAGGGTTTTTCCCTTCCTTTTCCCTCCGCGACCCTCCTGTCTTAGGGTGAATACCTGGAGGAACCCCAAGGCCTGTCTTGTGTACCTCCAGCTGGAGGACGATAACATCCTTCCCCTCCCCCAGTTTCTTTAGCTTCCTCCCTTGGAGGGGGAAGAGTGGAAGAAAGCTGGGAAAGCACAGGTTTTCTTACTTTCTGCTCCACGGTCTCGCCCCCCCCCCCAGCTCCAAGTGCACGCACACTGCACATCTTGTTTGTGCCCCACAGGGCATCCCCCAAATCTCAGTGATACAAGACTGCCTTTTACAAAGCCCTCTGCAGTAGAAATCGTGGTTCTGAAATATTTCCCACCTTTTCCTTCCTTTATAATTGTAACGCCCCTCCCCCACCTGCTCTTGCCAGCGTTCTGAGGACGTGAATATTGCTTTCCTGAGTGAGAATATCGCGGAGTAAGGGGACAAGGGTGAAAGGATAGTGGGAAGTTACGTCTGAGCTCCTGTCAACGTGGTGCACAGCTGGGATGTGGTCCTAGAGCCCATAATTCTGCTAGTGTTTTGTTGTTTCTGACTCTCGCCTGTAGGTTAACAGGAGAACTTTCACTGAGAGTATTTGGGATGGGGGAAAAAAAAGTTTCATTGTTCAGGGAGGTGACTTTTTTATCCCCTGAGTTTCACACACTAAATCCTGGGGCTGATCAGCGTGAATGCGCACAACCTCTTATTAGTGAGAATTAGTTTAATTTTTTTGCTGCTGTAGGTAGTAGGAATTGGTTTTTAAAAGGATGCTTTTTGGAGCTGTGGTTCTGTGGCGGGTTTCCTGTGATTAGGGAATTGTTGAAGATCGAGTCAGTCTATTTTGTTTATATCATAAAACTGATCATGAGATCTGAAAGGTAGCAGGAAGGAATCCTCTTTCTTTTGATCCATGAACATTTTGTTTCAGGATTTATAATCTGTCTGACCTACCTGAAATATATTTGGGAATAGGCAGATAAAGGTGAGAAGAAGCTACATAGGTAAAATAGAATTACAAAGTTATCCAGAGACCTGAAGGAGGTGTTTCATTCATCCGGCTTCCAGACCTAAAGGCATCTAAACGAGCTGTACTACCAAGCTGATTAAAGTGTTATTGTGTAAAATAGATCGCATTATTGATAGAAATTTGATTTATAACGATAGAAAAGACTTTCTCTGTATAATTTTATTTTTCTCTTTGTGTAATTTTAAAGACATTTAAAGGGCACACAGAAGAACTCCTAAACTGAACCTGGTGAACAGCATAATCTAAATGAAGCATTTTGAAGGGTTCATATCACGATAGCTCCCAGGTTTTAAAAATTTAAAAAAAAAATGCCAGTTTAAAAAAATTTCTTTACTTTGTACCTGTTGATCTCTAGGCTTATTTACCATATAAGAAAGATAGTTTTCTAAAATTTAAAAGGGGAATGATTGTTTATATGTCCAGTAGTAACACATAAAGTTTCTTTCTGTCCTAGGGTTAAAATATCTTAGGCTTTGTGTTTGCTTGGTGTACTGTGGAATCAAACCCACCACCATCTGTTAAAAGTTAAGGACATAAGTTTTTAGAACACTGTTCTGTATTCCTAGTGTTATAATTAAGAGAAGGTGTATAAGACAAATTATTCACATTTTTCTCTTACACTGCTAAAGCCCACTGACTTTGAGAGGCAAAAGTGCAGACTTTTCAGTGTTTAACACTGAGAGGTACTCATATATACTCATTTATTACAGAAGTAATAAATGTTTAATTCAATTTTGAGTTCATCCTAAATTGGAGATGTCTCTTTTTAGGGAGAATAGAGGTTACGTGACATGGTAGACCTAATAACAAGGCCTCATTATGTAAAGTATTACATGCTGGACAGTTGGAGTACACTTTTTCCAAGTATGCTATATACTTATTTTGATAACTCATTAAGCATAGTTAAAAGAGTTTATACTTTTATTGAGGGGGGAAAAAAGCACTGCATGTACTGAGAGAGGTTTGTGTAAGAATCTTAATTATTTCAACTATTCCTTCAAGTTTTGAATTTTTCACATATTGTCTGTTCTTCTTCCACTGTATCTAAGAGAATTCAGGCTTTTTATTACCCCCAAGACGTGTATGTTGAAGCACTTCAGCCCCCAGGGGAGCTTGCACATGGCTGTGGCAACTAGGATTGTGACCAAATGGATGTTTTGGTTGGTCTTCTAACACTTGTTCTAACTGAAGTAGAAGTGCATTACTAGCCACTGTTGGTTACAGACATACTGAACTCCAGTGAGTACTGCTTAGCAGCTTGTTACAGTTGGTCCAGTAGACCTGCTTAAAAGAACTGGTCTTTTTCATTTTGACTTTTAAAATTATTATTTTGTTCATCCTGACATTTTGAGCTCAAATTCTTGTTTCTAAATGGGTGAAATAAAATTCTTATAACTTACTGATATTGTATCTAGACAATATTTGTGGTCAAATGAGTGTTACCAATTTTATTTTATTTTTGGTACCAGCAATCGAACTCATGACCTTGTGCTTGCCAGGCAGGTGCTGTGCCACTGAGCTATCTCCCAGCCCCAAGTGTTACTAGTTTTAGAAGTAATCTCTTGCTCCATTAGGGAAATGGCAGTTGTAAAAGTGAACAGCTAGAATGTTGTCTTTTTTTTTTTTTTGAGACAGGGTCTCGCTATGCAGTTCAGGCTGGCCTTGAGCTCGCTTTGTAGCCCAGGCTGGCCTCGAACTCACAGCGATCCTCCTGCCTCAGCCTCCCAAGTGCTGGGATTACAGGTATGCGCCACCACGCCTGGCCTTGACTGCTAGAAAGTTGAAAGTATCAGTTACATCTTCTGTCTTTCCTTAACCTGTTTTTATGGTGCCAGATAGTAAGTTTCTAAACTGAAATGGGCAAATGGTTAAGTATATAGCTTTAAATTGTAACTTATTAGCCTAGTTCCTTAGCAAAGTAGAACCTTTTTGCCTACCTTTCCTAGCTCTTTGTGCCCTACTGATCCCTGAAAGAGTAAGGGAGTAAGGGTAAAAAGACGAAGTCTTTTTTGTTTCCCTTTGTGGTACTGAGGATTGAACCCAGGGGCTCACACATGCTAGGTGAGCTCTCTAACACTGAGCTACATCACCAAACATATTTAAAGTTTTTGAAAAAAAGAAATTCAAAATGTTTGCCTCCAAATTACTAGTTGTAAATATGTTCATTTAAAGCACTTTTTCATATCTAGTCAAATGAAATAGTATGTAAAAGCCAAAGAAATTCTTTTATATAACACATTGCAGAATAAATTCTTTTTTTTTCTTTTTTTTTTTTTTTGTTCTTTTTGTTTTTCTCCGGTACCGGGAACCGAACTCACGACCTTGCGCTTGCCAGGCAGGCACTTTTGCCGCTGAGCTAAATCCCCAGCCCCCATGCAGAATAAATTCTTAATTTTTAAATTTGTAATAATATATTGTTGCTGGGTATGGTGGCGCATGCCTGTAATCTGAGCACTCAGGAGGCTGAGGCAGGAGGATCATTGCAAGTTCGAGGCCAGCCTGGGTTACAAAGTGAGCTCAAGGCCAACCTAAACTGTATAGTGAGACCCTGTCGCAAAAAATAAATAAATAAATAAATAAATAAAATATATATATATATATATATGTATAATTTGTTTGCTGGGCGTGGTGGCGCAGGGCTGTAATTCCTGCACTCGGGAGGCTGAGGCAGGAGGATCATTGGGAGTTCGAGACCAGCCTCAGCTACAAAGTGAGCTCAAGGCCAGCCTGAATTGTGTAGCAAGACCCTGTCTCAAAAAAAAAAAATTGTTTGTTCTGACATGTTGAATATTGATCAGACTGTCCTTTGAATATGTGATGTAGAGTTCACAGTATAAAATGATCGACAATGCCAGGTATGGTGATGCACCCCTGTAATCACAGCACTTGGCAGGCTAAAGCAGGATGATCCCCATGAGTTTGAGGCCAGCCTGGGCTACACAGTGAGTTCAAGGCCAACCTACACTGCAAAGCGAGACCCTGTCTCAGACAAATAGACAAACCAACAAACAACAAGAAAAAAGTGTCTTTGATGTTACAGACCACCTGTTAATTGGCTAGATGGATTTGTAAAAGTTTGAAGTTATTTTGAATTAACAAACAAGCACCTCTACCCTCCTTCTTAAGTACTAGTCCGCAATTTTTGTTAAGTCTTACAGTAAGTTGAAAGTGAATATTTTATGGTGAGGGATATTTTATGGTGGGTGAGAAATAATGCTTATTTTGGAACACATCTTTTTTTTCCATCTGGTCTTCAGTTCTGTGCACTCTGTAACCCACCATCTTGGTTCTAATTTAGTCTTTCTTTATATGAACTTTTTGCTTTTCACCTTCAAACTTAGATTTCCTTTCCCTTGGAAATCAAACATTTACTTGGTCCTGTAGCTTTCTCTGTGTGCACCAATCTTTTTTCTTCTTTTTTGTTGCCAGATACCTGCTGTTTGTACTGTTTATCCACCCATTTCCTTTATAACTGTTAAAACTAGCTTCTATCTCTTCTTCTGGGTTGCTGCTTTTGTGAAAGTGATTCCTTCTGGGAAATCACGGGGTCTTTGCTCAGTTGTAATTCCACTGTTGATGTTTTG